AACAAGGACATATATAAAGGAAATAAAAATACAAGGGGTTACACTCTTTGCTACTCATTTTGCTCGTCAAATGTGTTTCAATGTAGTTACCCTCAGTTTTTTTTTTGACAAGGATAATGATTAAGAGTTAGAAGTTAAGAGTTAGGAGTTAGAAGTTAAGAGTTAGGAGTTAGGTTAGTACCTTACTCATGGTAAAGTTCAATCACTAATCAATGGTGCAATCTATCAACAATCTTTTTACACTGCAGTAACCACTAATGGGTCATAATAAAGAAATGCTACCCTCAGTCAATTGAGTGTATATATTGTGTATATATATTTCCAGGATGCCTTTGATCGGTGAGATTTCTTGGGGATGCTAATAGCTTAATTCGTGAATACTCTGACAACTTAATGTAAAATATTCAAATTTTTTCCTCTCCTTTTTAATCCGTACAAATTAAAATTTTGAAAAGACGGGAAATGACACTCTCGATTATTTAACTGATAATCGAAAACTCAAGTCGAAAATCACAATGGCATCGTCAAATTGACATGGGGAATTAGTTAGGTAATAAGAATATCTAAAAAGGGGATAAGGTTTTGGGCACACTATTAAAGTATTATGGTTATATAAATTTTTAAATATTATATTTTAAAAAATTAATTGTAAAATTAAAAATATTTAGTAATTATAATTATCAATTAATAAATACTAAAATAATTACTATTTATTAGTTAATATTATTAAAATTAATTTATATACTAATATTTTAAAATATTAAATTAAATTATTTACAACAAAAAATTAAAATTTACGTGACCCTAATAATAGTATAGGTGGCTATCACCGCACACCAAACATGGGACAATCTCTTCTCTCTCATATGCGTCTCCTTTTCCCAGTTTGTCTTCATCCATAACTTCAGCCGTCCACTAAATTTTACAATCATATGTACATATTCTTACACAGTCTTTAGGCACTGTTATCTGTAAATCCCTACACGCAACAACGTATACACTTGGGAAGTGGCATGAGCACCATTGTCATGCATTGAATCAGGTATAGCACTAGCTATGTCTCTTCCAATATTTCTCAACTCGAAATAATTGGAACAAATTTATTCCTGAGCTTCCAGGGAGTTTGGAGAACTGAATATCAGTACTGTGTCACTTGGAAAATTTCAAAAAAAAGGTGCATATCTAAGTTCAAATGTACCTAACTAAGTTTTCCTTACCTTCACGCAAAAGTCCTATAAATAGAAGATTAGCTTGTAGTTATATCCTAGAAGAGGCATTAATACAACTCATTTCATTTGATAACATTATGGCTTCTAATTTCAACAGAAGCATGCTTATTCTTTTTCTCATTGTTCTTTTCGTCCAAGTTCGATTCTTTGAGGCGAGACAACTAGCCTCGAGCAAGGGAAAACTGAATGCTCTTCTTCCTAAGGTCCTTGGAACTCCTCGTCGCGTGAATGATCGCGCAATTGCTAAAGATGGAAGGCTCATTACTGGCCCACACATTGCACGTGCCTTGTTTGATAGAAATCTTCAAGAGTCTGTTCCTAGTCCTGGGGGAGGACATTAGTCGCTTTCGGGAGACTGAAAGTTCTGAATTGCATGATATATAGTCTACCATATGTGTTGCGTTTGTGTTATTTCATCTAGTAGTTACTGTAGAAAAATATTAAGAGTAGACATGGTCTCCTGATATTATGTTGTATTGCATTTTTTTTTTTTGAACAGCTATGTTGTATTGCATTTGCACATCTAGTTTCATGCAAACATCTATTTATAACCAATAAAAACATCCTACTCATCTGTTACCTTACCAACAAGATTGATTCTCCTTCCCTTATATTCGCTTAATAAAATGCCTTTACTTTTTAAAAATAATAAAAAGCAAGGTTGCTTTTCTTGTTTCCTTTATTAACAGTATTAATTTATTCATAATGTGTTCGTAAAACAATTATTAAAAAATTAAAAATGAATAAAATTGTCGAAGTCAAAAAATTACCAGAAAAAAAAAATCAGCTTTTTTTTAAAAAAAAAAAAACCCTTTGACAAAAGCTAAAAACACATTCAAAAAATTACATTTTATCTAATTTTAAGTTTTACAACAAAGAAAACACTTCGACTTCTATAACAAAAAAGATCTAATCAACTTTGAGTCAAACAAACATTAAGGTTGTTAAAAGTAATATGTACAAATGCCCCATTATCTAAAAATATCAGTGTTAATCCATGCAAATTAAAACAAAATGTAAAAATGGTTTCATGTATGGTCAATGAACCTTGAAGTTCCTAAATAATCTTTGATACAGACATACAGATAGCCATATAAACAGGGCATAAGCAGAATTCAGAACTTGCCAACATGGAAGAAGTTCAATATACACAGAATTAATTAGATTGAAGTTGAGGACTAGAAATCGAAAAATAAGCTCTTGTTATGTATGTTAATTATCATTTCTACTGAAACACAAAAAAGCAAGCAATTCCAATATCTTGCAAGAGCCTTTTTTTATCCAATCAACAAATAATTTAGTATGTATCACATCAGTTCTTTTAGATATATACGAGAAGAAACTAATTTAACGAATAATAATAATTCTATTAGAAAAAGAAGCAAAAGATAGAGAGTCCGAATTTTTCTTAATGGGGAATGTTCCTACTTCCTAATTTGAGCTTTAACAAAGTCAAAGAAGTCAGTATGAGTGGCCTGAGTAATTGAAGTGGCTATATGTAAATGTGTATCTCTAGTGAAAGGAATTGGACACATGCATTGGAATAACAGTTAGCTAATCCTTGTTCAAAATCACATTATTTTCCTTTTCGGGGTTTCCTTGTAGATTGGCATCTTTGACTTGTTTGCATACCATACTATATGCACTTTCTCGGTACATCAAAAATAAGTCATTCACAATGCAAAAGAACGTAAGCAATGAGATCACATTTTCACATAAGAAAATAATTAATAAATAATTTTTCTTTACAATCATATATGTCATTTTTGTTCTATAATGTTTTCTACAAATTTTTTTCACAATGCACCTTGTTTAAAAATGTAAATTTATTATTTTTTATATTAATTTTAATTTATTTTTTTATATTTTCAATAATTTTAATTAATATTTATATTTTTTAACATAATAAAAAATAAAAAAACCTATAACTAAAGCATAGTATAGCATAATACTAATAAATGAAATCTTAATAGTCATTTTTTTTTTTCTTTTGAACGTAGGGGTGGCACTTCCAACCCCACACTGCTAACCTAAGATGAGAAAGTCCTAATAAAGAAAAAGTGGCCATTAAGTCACAAGAAGATTTTTAATAGTAAAATCTTTTTATTTTACTAAAATTATAATATTATATATATTTATTTAATTAATTTAAATACATGTTGAAGTTATAAATAAAAGTTATAAAAATAAATTATGCGGATGTCATTTCCTTTTCACATAATGACAGCCCCCACCACAATAAAGACCACCATCATTTTATAGTATAAAAACGAGGTTAGAAGGATTCATACTTGGGACCTAGAATTTTACTGTTGCAAAAATTGCACCCAGGTGGTGGCTGCTGCCGCTTGGCCACTGCTTAGGGCTTTTTGCAGCCTTTTTTAAACAGTATGAGATATTTTTAGGACCAATTCTTGAGCCCAGCTCATGTTTGCAACCATTGTAAACATCATGATAGATTTTTAGGCCCAATAATAACATTCTTTTTTATTTTTTGACTTCTTTTTTCTGATCTTTGACATTTTTAGGCAAACTATCAATCAGGCTTAACGATTTTTACAACACTAATCTAATTCTTACCTTTCTTTTTTTTTTTTTCTTTTTTTTTTTCTTTTTTTTGGGATCACATGTTATCCTTCTGTTTCCAGGAAGCAATCATTCACACTAAAATTAGGATTCAAAAGAAGTTATCTCCTAAGAATACTTTAGTATATGCTTTGACCATTGAATGAATAGCTCAGTGATAAAGACCAGACAACTTGAAGATCAGAGGCATGATGAGAAAGGCACAATACTAAACATCCAAAAATTTGGGTTTAGATATATATGAGACTTCCGATACTAAAATTGGACCCAATTAGAAAACTTTAAAGACAGGCATGTGTGTACCTCTCATACTCTTTTGCTGTCAGTGTCAAAACTCACTTCAGCACTAACATGTAGCACTTTGCTTGAAATTGCTGCAGAGATAAGAAAAGTCGGCTGCTCATCAGTTAATTGCCCATTTTCTTGAAAGTTGAGAATATAACAGCTTCTCTCAGCAATTGGTTAATGGATACTTTAAAATCTATAGAAAAAACATCAGATCTTGCACTGTTGAGGAAATTCAAACGCAATCTTGAGTGCAACTTTGTCAAAATTTGGGTATTCATCATCTTCAGCCTTCTGTTCATCATTGAAATAAGAAGTAAAGAAACAGTCTCTCCATCATTGATCACAATAAGGAAATTAAGAAATGAGGTTTTACCAAGAGTTAACACATACGACATGAAATCACAAAGATATGTAGACCATGCATGTAGACGTGTTCATTCATGAAGTTGCTAAAAAAGAAGAATATTGTTGATTTGTACCTACCCCAAATTCCATGAATCTCTTCTTTTGACATTCTTCAATGGCACACATCAGCCTTATTTTGCTCATCTTTTCTTTTAGGTTTGATTGGCCAAGTACCATCTCTGGAAAGCAGAAACATTTTAGACATCGAAAGGAAAGAAGTCCCATCTTTGAAGGCCAAATTTGATAGTTCTAGGTCCCCCTCCCAAGGGTACCATACGTCCAGATTCTCTTCATCAGCATGGAGATGTTATGACTAATGATGGAAAGATTGATTAAACTTGATCTTGCTAGAAGTGATCGAATGTTGGAGTCAGTGCCAAGTCCTGGAGTTGGACACCACTAGACACATTTGTTTCCCTGGATTGTTGCCTATACAGTATCTTAACTTTGAAGTCTCTGATATAATCACCGCATGTCTCTTTACTCATTTGCATTTGAGGTTTGCCTGTTATATATCTTGGATGTGGTAGAAGCATAATCAGTTTGCAGATACCAGGATCTTGAGGAATAAAGAAAAACAGTCCTTACATGTATAAAACACGATTTTCTTTTTCTTTTTTTTGTTGAAAAGCAAAAAAAAAAAAGAAAAAAAACAAAAACGAAAACAAAAAAAAGGGGGAAAAAACCATTGATATGTATAAAATTTGACCATATCAGATGCATTCCCCCATTCACTGTATATCTTTAATGATAATAGTGGTCAATTTCACAGAAAAAAATCCTTTCTCATTGGAGCAATTTGTAATACTACCTAGGCTTAGAAATCAAAATTTCCTTCCTTCTTTTTAACTAAGTGGCAATCATAATCACCTTAATCATCCATGCGTTTATTAATCACATCAAGATATATAATCCATCATTTTCTTTACCGAAAGTTTTCACTAAACTTGAAAAGTTTTTATCCCCACAGTTTTCTAATATAAATCAAATGATAAGTTTTGAGCTGAAGCCACTGAGCTCATTAGTTACCTTATAATTTGGTTGTCCAATATGCATAGAAATATTCAATCATGGCACAAACAGGCCAGTAAATATCTTTTCTTCCTTCTGGCCCCATCCTCATACCATTACTAGTAAAGCCCTTCACGCAACCAACATGAAAGAGCATTACCAGAAGCACAATTATTAGTGCCAATTTTAGTGCCTTCCACCAACTGATGAAAGGATAGGAAATTCCTGCTCAATAATGTTCTTTATTAGTACTGTTATGGAAGGATAAGTCCCAACTTTTCCCCAGGTCTTCGGAATGACAGATAGAAGAGTATATGACTGGTGAAATAGGTAATTGAAACAGAAAATGGGCACCTCAGTTCAAATTTACCTAACACACTTTTGAAGGTCTTCATCTTAATGCATCTTTATCTAAAGGGTGACACAGTCCTATAAATACGTAACCTTACAAGCTAACCAATGTCCCATATAGAAAAGAATTCAAAATTACCTTCGTTGGCTCGTTGCACCATAGGCCATTTTTTCTTGCCTTTCCTCTTATTATTATGGCTCATTTCAACATTAGTATACTCGTCGTTGTTCTTTTGCTAATGTCTTATGTACCTTCTTTTGAAGCCAGAAAGGCCTTGAGCAATGAAATAAAGATTGCTTCTGATTATAAGGTTCTTACTCCACCTTTCTCTCCCAACCAAAATGGTGTTGCCATCGATGAAAGGGATGCTAACATGGAAAGTTCAACCTCTGACAGACTTTTGTTGTCTACTCCAAGTCCTGGAGTTGGGAATAAGTAGACTTATTTAAGGACTCAATGTGTCCCCCGCAGAAACAGGAACGATCTTAGCACTATATCTATTTATGTTTGGTGTGTTTGATTTTTATTTGGGGGGATTTAGCTTTGATACTTGGTGTGGGAGATGTAATAAAATTAGCTAAGTAACAAAAGTCTTCATGTATCTGTAACTGTTATCCCACCCAACAGTACTTACATTTTCTTTTCTCTCGTCATAAATCATATTATATATATATATATATATGTATATGTACACTTGTCATTTACAATAATATTTTGGCAAAACCCAATGTTAAGCCCTTAGACTTTTCCCATTTTCTCACATATACCCTTTAGGAAAAAAGTGGCATGTAAGTCTCTAAACCTGTGGATTTCAACAAATTAGCTATTGTGTTAATGATAGAATCACATGCAGTCACATAAATTAAACAATCATTTGGTTTTTTTTTGCTTGCATGAAAATTCTTTTATACTTAAATGCTTGCAATATATAGTTCAAAATTCTCAAAATTAAAAGTTAAATAACTAAATTTCATACCACATCAGTATCTAATTGTAAATGAATCGTTATGCAAGCACAAAAAACAAACTTTTGTTTAATTTACATGATTTTGCCCTTAATACAAGAGCTAATTTACTCAAATTCTAGTGTTCAAGAGCTTATATGCCACTCCTTTCCTTTGAGGGCTTATGTGAGAAAATAGTAAGAGTCTAGAGATGTTAGTTTTTGCATAATATTTTAATTCCTTCTTTCCTTAATTCTTTTCATGTTGCTGAATAATGGAATTTTAGTAGTGTCATATGATAATAGTTGTGATAATTGACGAACAAGGGATTGATGGCTACCCTAAGAAGAGTGAAAATTGGCATTGCTTGTTTTAGGTTATTAAAGATTTTTTTTGTCATATTTCATTGAATGGAGTATCTATTATTTAGTGAAACTACAATAATATCGAAAATTACAAAAAGAGTGGCCTATTGGGAATCTCGATTCTTTACTTGCATCAGTTTTCTTCTAATCTAACAAGACGAACAAAGGTGGTAATTTTTTGCTGATTGAACTTTCCTTGTCTTCACTCTTTTGTCCTCTTTTGCCCAACTCCTTGTCTTCACTTGGAAATTAGAAATTTGGGTTGCTTTCATTCCTTTTAGGTATACATTTTGAAGAGCTTTAGAGAAACTTCAGGTGCCATAATATAGTAGTCAAAAAGGTCTATCATGTGCGAGAGAGATAGAGACTAAATAATTGTTGATAAGAAAAGATTCCTAACTGGCTAACTGCACTTTAATAGCATAGGGAGAAGTGCAAGAGAGGAACCCGAGTTTTCCTAAAGAAGGAAGGTTCCTAACTTAAGTTTCATGTTAATTGGCTCTAGGGCTCGTCAAAAGTTTGCTTTCGCCGACAAGAGACTAGCAAAGTAAATATTTATAAATTTTAAAACTTTGATCTGAGATCAAAGTAAGAAGTTTAAGTATATATAATAGTTAAATTGTTAATTTTTTTATTTTTTGAAAAGTATGTAATTTACCAAGTGAGTTATAAACTCAAATAAAATATCTAAAACCCTAATTAAAAAAATTCAAGTTAGAGCAGTGCTAGCGACACTCGCCTCTTGCACTCTCCAGCCAACACTTTCACTCTTATTGGGCCACGTTCTTTTCGTTGGAACAGGTTGCAGTTCAAAGCCTAAAACAAGCTTACGTGGGCCAATGAAAGGGGAAGTGCTGGCCTGAGAGTGCAAGAGGCGAGTGTCCCTAGCACTTCTCATTCAAGTAATTACTTAACTGCATTTAAGTTCAGCTACTCTGACTTCAAATGTATATTTTATAAGCTCTGTGTTTCAACTATTCATCATACTACTGCAGTGCCCCAGTTATGGTTTTTAGGCAATCTTATGCTCTAGTCACTAAAGGCAGTTCAAAAGAAAGAAATTTATCAAGAATTTTAGGCAAAAATCAAGGGACAATAAATGTTGTTCAATTACATGGATCTTGATTAATGAAGTAACATTTCCCATAAACACTTGTAAACAAGGAAAATTTAAGAAAAATTAATTCAAGACATACCAAAGAACCCAAGACAAGGGAGAATT